CCACCGGGGGGTTGGGGGGGGAGAGCAATCACGATGTTAACACTGTATCCTATCGTTAAACTGCGACAGTAAAATAGTTCTAAAATAGATATTTTAACAAACACAACGCAATTTTCCACTTAAAGCGCAGTTCTCTCCTTTCCCTCCCCCCCCCCCCTCCACATCACGTGAGCTTGCCAATTTCTTTCTTTCTGATCGATATCACATTTATTATGTACTGCCTCACAGCCACCGTTTTCCCGCCACATATCGATCTGTGTATGAACGGGCCCTTGTGACTCTGCAATTAGCGGAAACATATAGAGTAAGTTTCTACAAGAGTGATGGCTAAGAACATTCCGAGAGTTTCCGTAAAATTTTTGTAATTTAGCTTACCCATAATCGCTAATACACGAATATCATGTGGTCACTTACGGTAAACACTCGCTTTGTTTTGTTTTGCATAATTTTAAATTCCTTGATTAACATACGGTATGTTTAAGTATAAATGAAATAACGTAGTCCACGTTCTTTGCCAGAAGTTTCAGAAAAATCCATCATTACGCGCGGCAAGTTATCTCCTTTTGGACTTTTACAAGACCATTCCTCTGTTCAATTATGGACTTACTCCACGCTAGATACAATCACTGGAGGTGATGAAATATTTATATCGTTTACATATTTGAAGAATATCTTGTTTAATTTCAGTGTCACGAAGAACATTTATTTGGTGCCCTCGTTCTAACTTAATAAATGCATACGGAATTGCAATCAAACATGGCGGAATAATACGCGGAAGAATTTGATCTCTTTAGTTTGTTTTTTTTAATCATAGCAGTTCAATTCAATGTCACATCACACTTTTTATAAACATTATTTGTCTCTCCAATTCTGTAAACTCACTCACTCACTTTTATGACGAAGTTGGAATTAATCGTTGGCGTGATATTCGAAACTAATTAGTTTCAACTGTTACAAGTTCAGACAGTGGCCTTCTATATTCTATTGGCAATCATTACGCTTATTTTAAAGAGAGGCTATTTTTGATGGTTTAAAGTAACGAAAGACACGTGATCAAAACAACCAACCATACAATGTTAAAACATCGACATACTATCCGTTTTTTTTTCTTTATTAATAAAATTTTACAAATTGGATATTTTCGTTATAACATGTTTACACACAATCATGTTCTTTTCACATAAGGTTTGGCATGGTCTGGTGGTTAAGGCGTTCGACTTGCAATCTGAGGGTTGCAGGTTCGAATCTCCATCACTGAACATGGTCGCCCTTTCAGCAATGGGGGCATTATAATTTGACGGTCAACTCCGCTATTCGTTGGTAAAAGAGTAGCCCAAGAGTTGGCGGTGGGTGGTGTTGACTAGATGCCTTCCCTCTATTCTATCACTGCTAAATTAGGGACGGCTAGCGCAAATAGCCCTTGTGTAGCTTTGCGCGAAATTCAAAACAAACCAATCTGTTCACAATACCTCACTGGCTATATACTTATTTTATACGCTTCATATGCTGACCACACAAAATTATAAAAAATGCAGCGGCGATATGCTTGTTTAAGCGGAAAGATGCATAATGGGCTATCTGCAATATGCCCAGTGCAGGGATCGAAACGCGAAAGTTATCACTAAAGTACTAAGCTCTCCAGCTTACCGCTGAGCCACCGAGGTGGAAGTTGCGAAACCTGTGCAAAAATTAAAGTGTCTGAAAGCAATTAAAAGGAAAAAGAAAAGTTTTGGAACTTTTGTATATAAGAGAAATAAACTAAGCGATCAACACAGAACAGACTTGGCTTTATAATTAATATTCCTCACTGAGTTTTGCGGAAACCTCGATCATTTGAGCAAATCCAAGTAACTTACATATCTGAGCTGACACACGTTCTCACCACCGTCTTGGTTTTATAAAATTTTGTTTTTTATGAACAGAAAGGTTTGAGTAACGAAATGCTGCGTATACTTCAATGTATATCGTTCGCTCAATTGACCAAAACAAACAAGGCTGAAGACTGGGTAACAAAACTGTTGCACAATTGATTAGAACTATATATATATCTGTGAGGATTTTATGTTTTCTGCATCCTTCGTCCACGAAACTAGGTATGCGCGTCTTACATCATATGGCACGTCCAACTACTCAGTAATTTTGTATTTAGGTAAGTCGTGATGATACAGTTACGAATTTTCTACTCTGACAGTTTTTTTTGTTTTTTTTATCTACAAGGAATGAACAGGCCCACCTTGGAATGGCAGAAAAACGAGTGACCGTGATTGGTCCAAGGTCACGGGACATAGAGATCGACTGCATTACCTCCGGGAACAAGAAACACGCCCAAATTTTAGTCCCCATAATCTATAGAGGCTGCCACGACGCAGAGCTACAGTTTAATACTACGAAACGTAGTAACTGTACGAAACTTGTCAACAAGAATAGAGGTTGACGGTATGTTTGCACTACGAATATATCACTTAAATTATTTCGTACATAGGTACGTCGTTGTTCTTATCGTTTGATAAAACTATATCAGTGTAAAAGATATCGTTTAGATATTTCGAAAAAGGACTAATCATAACTGTTTCCAAGTTAAAAAAAAACAGCAAAAAAACATCGTTACCCAAAGTGATACGTGTTAAAATACGATAAGATAAAAATCGTACAATAGTCCACTCCTGCTTAGTACGGCAGAGAATCACACCACAGATCTGTTAGTGGTTATCCTACGTTCGAGTTCAAGTCGGTTCATTATTTGTGTGCATTATGCTCTGTCAGGTGTAAGGAAGAGTCGCACTTTTCAAAACATTTTGATTTTCAAACTGATATTACATTTTTATTCTATGCTGCACAATACTTAC